TATGACTAAAATAAGAATTGGGTGTTTCGTTTAGACATTGGAAAGGTTTCTTGGAGCTAATTCTAAACAACTGTAGATTTGAAGATCATCAGTTCAAACAGCTGTACATAAGTACAAGTTAGTTGGTTGTTTCACCACTTTGTCAAAGTCTGGAGGAAGACCTGGACTCTCACCCTTAGATGGAAGGGCATTTGTTAGGATGTTCGGGAACATCCCACAAACAATCAGAGCTCAAGGCTGCCATGAACTGGAAACTGCTGGAACACTAGGGTCACTGTCCACACTGAAGCAAGTTTTCCATGGGCTGTATCGACCAAGAAAGGAGACTCTGGTCTAAAATCAACACCGCCAAGCTTGACTGAATGTTGCAGCTGCACATGTGGACAAGCCAAATGCCTTTTAGAGAAAAGTTTTACTGGTACATTGCACAAAGTGGATGGAGTAATGAAGAAGGAGGACTACCTCCAGATTCTTTAACTTTACCTCAATTCAAAATCTAGATGGGTGAAACTTGAACACATTTGGGTGTTCCAACAACACATCAAAACTGGTTTTGAAATAAGTAATGCAGTCTAGCATTACGTTTCTGGAATGGATGTCTCAAAGCTCCAGCTTCAGCACAACTGAAAATCTGTGCTTAAAAGTTAAGTCCATGTCAGGAAACCAACCAATTTGAATGAACTTGACCAATTTAGACAAGAAGGGTAGTCAAATAGCCAGCCAGAATGTTACCATTAGCTTGTTTGAGGTATGTACATATTTAAGCCTGCATGTATAATTTTACTGTAAAGAACTATATGTATACTGTGGATTAGTGAAAATCGAAAATATAGTCAAACTTGTACACCACATTCTTGCTTTCTAAAGTTAAAGATGTAAGCTGAGCAATCATTTCATGCTGGAAAAAAGCAGTTCAAAGAAACCATTTAAAGCCCAGAATTACCATGACATTCATGCTCATGATGAGTGCGGGTGACCACAGCTGTATTTTCCCTCTAAGTAACATGAATACTGGGCTATGCTGATGCATTGGTGTATATGTAGACTGAGTTATACTGACATGACGTCCTTTTTAAATAAATAAATAAATAAATAAATAAAGGAGTATTATTTGAAAAAACATACGGGGTAATTTAAAAATGATAATCTCCCCAACAGCGATGCTGACTCCATTATTTAAAATACTGTCAGCAGTCTGCAGGATGTGCAGCAGAGTAAAAAAGTGTCTTGAAGATAAGTTTTTAACAGTTTTCAAGGTATTGCTAGAAACTTGGACAATTACCCCATTATTCTCACTTTTCACTATTATTATAATTCATGCATTTACGTATATTTATATATTTCATGTAAAGGTTAATCTCCGTTATGGGCTTTTTAAAACTCTGGTTAGTATTCAAGTTGGCAGGACTGTCATCCTTCTCCATAGATAGATAGACAGACTATAGTGGTCCAAAGTCAGCATTGTTTAGGTAAGTAGTGTAAGTAGTGTGTGGTGATATTAATGTAAAATCCACATGAATGGGAGAAAGATAAGATAAGATAAGATAACCTTTATTAGTCCCACACGTGGGAAATTTGTTTTGTCACAGCAGGAAGTGGACAGTGCAAAAGTTATGAGGCAAAAATTAGGATACAATAAGAATAAATACAGTACACAACTGTACAGGATAGAATAAATAAAATACTATATACAGTAGAATAAAATAAAATAAATATACAATAAGATAAAAATAGAATACAAATACAAATGCTATATACAACTGAGTAAAAATACAACGATGACAGAAAGGATTATTGCACTTAGTATTATAAAACTAATATAAACTAATATTTCCTAACCTAACATTGCCTCAAAATAGGTCAGTGCTTACTTCCCCTATCAGTAGTTTTAATGCTGTGTTTGATTCATGTATATCTGATTTCAATTTGTATTCATCTTCTTGTATTTTGTGTGTACATATATACACATTTCACGTTCATTTTACGTCCTATAAATAGTATCACCAAGTCTTAAACCTGGTAGTCTTTACTGTTTTCACATGTTTGTATGTTCAGGTCAGTCAATCAGTGATTGCAAGGGAAGTTTTTACTAGCTTGTTGACAGCTAAATATTGTCCAACACACACAGGAGCTCACCCAAGCATAGAACATATAAAGGTTCAACTGGTTTATTGACAAAACAGAACAAAACAAAGGCAGGCCAGAACATTGTGTTCTTGGGCACCTGGTGACCGTTAAATTGGAGCTGCTAATAAAACTTTTGATGCTTTAAACCAGTGTGAAATCAAACCCTTTGAACTAAATCAAATCATAGAATTGACGATCTAAAAATGCTTGTATTTTTGTTGTTATTTTTAATCGTTTAGGTATATTACATTTTTAAAAAAAAAATCAAATGTTATTGAGCATGCTTTGATATGGCAAAGCTGCACAAGGTTTAAGGGGGAAATCCAGATAAAATATATTTATCATTTTCTGTGTCCGTGCTGCAGAACACAGAAGAAACAAAGCGCAAAATGTATATTTATATTAAAACGTGTTTAAAAAAGGATAAATAGTGATTTCTTTTCGTTTGCATAAAGTTTGGTTTGGGGATCTATGAAAATGTAAAATAAATAAATAAATCAAATCCTAATGATTAAAAAGTGGGGGGGGTTAGGTTGCGACTAAATGTTGGGAAACCTGGTCATGTGGAACATGAAGCATTGCAAGAATGACTTACCTTGCATAAAATGTGTGAATAACGCGTGTATTTTCCAAATTTAAGCTGTTAAAAAATATAATCAGCATTAGTTTTTTTTAGTTCCGTCAAGTAAAAAATCAAATCAAATAAAAATAAGCATTTAAGTCACATTTACACTTAATGCCATGTTAAGACAGACTGTTTCCGTCTTTTATCCTGCTATCTGCGGCCATGCAACCGCATGTAGGATATCTAACAATGATTAAAAACTGAAACAATCACCTCCATTCATAGAATGCGGGAACATTTACGATCTTAAAATTCAAAAAGGTCAACATTCCTTGAATCGCGTTGCCATCTCGTAACAGGATGGAGGAAACTGACCATGAAAACGAGTTCGTTGCGCACACAGCTACTCGGTGCGCTTTGGAGAGGTTGTGGTAACCTTTTTACGCGGCTGAGTTTTTCACAGTTCTAAACGCTTTAGGACACAGTAAAGCAGTAAAGCACCAATACGCAAGTTTTTATACACAAGACAAAGATCTATGGCATATAACTACAACGCATATATTGTCCGTGGCACTATTTAAGCGCTGAAACTCACCCCTTCCCCTGGCGAGCACATACTAAAATTTACGCACAACAAAAACGTGTTGCTGTCTTAACAACACAGCATAAGTTCTTTAATTATTCTCGTTTGGCACACACTGTATGTGCAGTAAAGTACTATAAATCAATGACCACGCTGACTCGCTGGTAATAAATAGAAACCGTCGCCCTGGTCGTTCTTTGTGTCGGTTGGCAAGGAGATGATGGTGTCCAAAAATGGCTGTCCTCTATCCAACCTGGCTGATTGTACACACAGTATTATTATCCTCTAACTCGTGGTTAATGTATAATTTGGGCCATATGGCATTTTAAAATCTAAGCCTTTATTTCGGTGGCACTTCGATCTGTGTGGACCCAACTAATGATTCAATTAGTCATTAAACAGACCAAAAGACTAGCCTCGTGTGGGTTTTCACATAGGCTAATATTTGCTCGTCAAATATTTCCCTTTGAAACGTTTACAACGTATTTTTATCTGTTGGCTGCCCAAGGAACATCTGTGAGGGTTGTTTTAGCCTCCCTCTTCTGCATAAAAAGAGGTCCCCCAATTGGCCCTTTCCTTGCGCCCATATAGGAGTCTATTTGTTCACGTTTTGAAAGAAAATGTAATAAAGAGACTTTGTGATGGATTTATGATTTATCAAAAGCACTTTACCATATGGCAGTCGTCATAGGAGCAGATTTCCAAATGTTTGTTTTATGAAAGGAGACCAGAGATCATTTTAATCTGAGCCACTTAACCTAGGAGAGGATGTTCAAGTCACGTGACCCACTAAAGTATGAGAAACACACTGATGTTGACCATGTAGTTTCTTTGAAACAAGACGGTTAGGTATGTATTTTCGTTACATTAAGAAGAGCCAAAGCAGAAAAGAGAAGGACTGAAGTGTGCTCCGCTGAAAACTGCATTGTCTAATTAAGACTGCAACCAGCTACTGCGCAAAAGGAAGCTCTTTGAGTTCCCAAGCTCGGATATTACTCTTTTGTGTGTCAGCTGCTGGAGCAGTGCACGGGCTACTAGACGTTAAAAACAGACTTAATCTATTTGTTTGTGACGCTTTAGATGATCAGACATTGCCAAGAAATTTAGTTAAGTGCGCTCAGGTGGCATCAGCTTTGCCCAAGTGTGCAGTGTGTAATATCCCACTAGTAGATGGTGCAAAGATGCTGACATGATGTGGGGGTAGGTTATATCTGATTGGATGTTTCACACTATGACATGTCTAGATGTTATTATAACAACAAAAACCGAGCTCTAATTTTGGCTTGCCGGAACGCTTTGTGGGAAATTCTTCTACAAAATACATTCCTATCACTCACTTGGTCTTCCCCCGTCTGCATTTGCTTTTAAAATAGGCTACTTGAAACGTGCTTTGTGAATCTCCGAAAAGGATCAGAATACAGGTGGTTTTAAAGCTAGGATATTGTTCTATGTCCGAAGATTCTGGCCGCTTAAACGCACCAACTTGAAGCACATGTCCAGCCTTTAACACGCACATTCTCTTTCAAAGCAGTAGACTATTTACATTTCAGGAATCGGATCACCACGTCATGTTGAGGTGTGCAGGTCTATAAATTGCTGCTGAAGGGTGGGATTCCTCTCACTGTAATTCGTTCACCAGACTGGAGTGGAGTTACCGCGACAATTTCGTTCATTCTAATTTATCGCATTCTTCACATTGCAGTCCAAGGTCTCCCCCCTCTCTGGAAAAAAGTTCTTATAGTTTTGACTTCAGTTTCATCATCAAGGCTGGGAGCAAAGAGAGATGTGCGGAACGAACACTGATCTGGAAAATAAAGGTTCATTTTCATTTTTTAACCACTTATTTATATTCGTTGCAAATCAGTGAATATGGATTAGATATGAACGACAGTAAGACATTTTAGTGGACTCGTTGTATTCGGTTAATTAGAAAAAATAACCAATTTAGTATGTGTTGTGATAAGGTGGTGGAAGTGTCAACCAGTTAGGAGGAATGTTTCTCAACGGAAGACCGCTCCCACAACCCAAGAGACGAAAAATGATTCAGCTGGCCTTGGAGGGAGTCCGTCCAAGCCAGATCTCCAGGATACTCAGGGTACGGTAACCTGAATAGTGAAAAACAACAACAACAACAACAACAAAAAACAACAACTTTGGATTTCGAAAAAATAAGCTATTGCGATGTTAGGTTAAATGCAGCATCAACGGATTATTCTTGTTTAACACAGTGGAGCTCACTTGCATCTTTAGGTGTCCAACGGGTGCGTCAGTAAGATCCTGAGCCGCTACCGGCGCACAGGACTCCTGGAACCCAAGACCATCGGTGGGAGCCGCCCCCGACTTCTCACCCCCGGTGTCATCTCCACGATCATCCAGTGCAAAAGGGAAAATCCGACTATTTTTGCTTGGGAAATCCGAAAACGTCTCGCAGCGGCGCGGATATGCAAGGCCTCCAACGTCCCCAGCGTAAGTAAGATTACAATTCAAATGTACTTTAACTACACTGAAACGATTCCAGCACTTGATGGTGTTTTGTGCACACTGTGTTCTGCAAGGTGTCGTCCATAAATAGGATTTTAAGAAAGATCCACTTGGACCGCGGATCATCGTGGATGGACCTCAACGCTGATGTCAGGGTTGAGCAGGGTAAGTAACTTGGTCCTTGGAGAAGTCATTTATAACGGTTTAGGAAGACTATCGAGTTTGATCAGAATTTTTATTACTGAACATGACAATTTAACACATACATGTATAAATATTAACTGCATGTAGTCTGTGTGTTTCCATATGTGCAGATTTGTATTCTCTGGCTCAAGAAGAAGCAAAGAAGTTTGAGAAGTTTGAGACAGGGTGCAGTAAAAAACAGAAATCCAAAGGTGTGCAGCACAGAATCCGCACCACCTTTACGCCAGAGCAGAGCAGAGCACTTGAGCAAGGTGACTTAAAACCTCTTCAGCTATTTCAAACTAACACAATGCATAATTTTTAGACTCAGTAATAGTTAAAGATCTATTTCTCTGTGTTGAATCAGAATTCTCTCGCAGCCAGTATGCTGACATGTACACAAGAGAGAAGCTATCTGCTGAAATTAAACTTCCCGAGGACACCATCAAGGTAGACTTTTCATCAATTTTAGCATCAAGAAATTCATATACATTTAAGCTGTCTGTTCCTGAGGTGTGGCTTCTGTCCCTCAAAGGTCTGGTTTTCTAACAGACGTGCTAAATGGAGAAGAGAAGCCAAGCAGAGAGGTAGTACGCAGAGTAAGTGTGAGTGTGTGTCTGTGTGTGATGCACACATACTTGGGAGCTGAGTGTGGGTGGCAAGGATGTGTTAAGAATGTGTATAATTTGACCACTGGACAATAATAAATGGAGCTGAACACACTGGTAGTGGAAAGTCCTCCTGAACACATCGATTCTTGCCTCATAGATGTTAAAATGTGTTTCTTTGTAGCAGCTGAAGACTTTGAAAAGCAAAGTGACTTTGTTCCTGTGAATCCAACAATGACATACAGCTTCACATCTCAACAGGTACTGTGGAAACCAGTGATATCTACTTTAAAGCCCTTAAAACATGCCGCTGTGAATGTTTTTCCGAGCAATGCTAGCCAATTTCCAAATGAGATTTCTGTGTTTTTAACAAACGTCTGGTGACATTGTGGCATTTAAACTTTGTTTATGCGGTTTCCAAGGCAACTGGAATGGCAAAAGTCAATGCGGACAGCTCCTCGTACAGCACTGTTGCAAGGAAGCTGCAAAATTGCTGCTTCTTCCCAACAGAAACAGGTGAGATCCAGGAAAACTGTCTTTGACCAAATCACTGTCTTTAATAATCTTTCTCTGTTTGATTATGAGGATTTTCATTCAATTTAATTTTTATTCATATTGATAGAGAGTATTTAAGAATGATGTTAAAGAAGCTGGAGATTAGCTTGATTGTAGTTTAGCTGAATATGATATAAAGGTCAGTGATGAGAGTACATGTTATAAAAAGTTTCATTCCCTGTGATGGGCTTGGGTTTGAATTTACTAAACTGCTAAAAATCTATTAAGAATCCAATGATCCTGATTATGAACTAATTTAAGGTTGCACAAAAAAGGTATTATTCTAATATTTTCCCTCCTACCTGTCTGTTGGTCATCATATAAAGTTGCCTATCTATGAAGCCATATGTTAAACATGTAATACATTTATGTCGGTTTCACAAGTCATTTGGGATTTGTAGGGATGGTAAACTCTATTCAGTATTTATGTGTTTATTCGTTTAAATATGAACAATAGGGTAGGTGTAGGGTAAAGCCTGCCTGTTGGATCACAATATCACTTAAAATCACTACTCTCAATTGTTCCTAAGTACATACTGTACTATCTTAATTTCTATGCAATAACTTTTCAGAAATTAAAGAAAATAATCTTTTCCCCCTTGACGTACAGCCGTGAGGAATTCTGAATGTCCGACATCCTCATTTCCCCATCTGCCGAGTGACATGCAAAACATAGACAAAACTCCTCTGGATCTCCACAGAGATGGATACAGTTTTCCACTGGTTCCCCACCACACAGACATGAGGAGAACCTGCCCTTTGGCAACAAAGACAGGGGGGGCAGACTGCCCTGTGATTCAACAGTGGAACCAGCAGGGAATGCCGTTTACCTGGAGTCAGTTTCAAACAAATGAGCAGTTTCTGTTGGTCCCGGATGTGAATCAGCATCTCTACATGGACTGATAATGAGACCAGTGGATCAGCGGGAAGAGCTTTTGACTGCTGCTTAATTGCTCGACTGAAGGGACACTTTTCAACCAGTAGAGGGAGACAAAGTATGGACCCAACAATTTTGTCCTTTCCACCCTTTGCCTCTTAATTGCACTGCAGCTCGACTCATCACTTTTCCTTAGGTCTGTGCTGTTAGCATGCAATGTAATTTTTGATTGGTAAGATAATTAAATTAATTCACTAAACCCATTTGCAATGAAGCAAACTTAATGTGACTTTATAGCACCAGAAGGGATGAGAAAATAGATAAGATGAGGATGATAATAAACTTTTTCTTGGAAGAAAGCTTTATTGTTCTTGTTGCTGGGCAACAAGGACAATAAAGTTAGGTTCAAGTTAAAGAAGGTAGAGTTTAGTACTGACAGAGATTATTAAGAGATAAATTTTAATCTCTGAGTATAATCTTTAATGAATACTTTGCTGTGCTCCTCAGTTATATATCAGTTTTAAAGACTTCTTGACTCCTACATAAATGATTGCTCCATGGATCATTTAAGGTTACCACACGATGATATGGACGTGATCTCCTTTATATTGTTAGGCTTGACATTTGTGTCAGTGTAGGAGCGTAAGGAACACTTCCAAGATTTCAGTCCAGGAAAAGCCGGTGGGAGAATCCCTAAAAAAAACCCTAAAGTTTAAATGCGACCTGATATCTGCTCCGCTCGGTATCACTTTTTACGACTGCAACAGGGCAGAGGCATTGAGTTCCTTTATATCCCTTTACTACAGTGAGGAGACAGTAAGTCTCTGAGTTTCCTGATAATTGGTCAGCAGGGGAAAGATTGGGTTCAGAATACAAAAAGCTTGGTCAGCAGCATGGAAGTGGCCTACTGGCGAAATGACCCCCACTGGAATATAACATCACGAAGCCAGATAGTCAAATGATATCTCCACGTTTGTGTTGTGACTGTTTCTGAAACATCCACCAATCTTGCATAAATTGAGGCAAGTTTTAGGATGACTGCATATGAATTTTTAACAGCAGGTACTGAACACATGTATTTAATTTATATGCAGTTTTCAAGTGTTTTTATGCTAATTTATGACACATTTCAGAGATCAGTATTTGACCTTTTATAAGAGTTTTTTTTTCAGCTCCAGTGATTTCTCTACAGTTTGTGCTTCTATAGTAAAATACCCTATGATTTTCTTACAAGATACATTTTTATATGGATTGCACCCATTGTGCCCTTGTGCTTCCCAATATTTTTGGTTGCTAGCATTTCCTCTTCTAAACTCTTCAGCTGTTTTAACCTTTTCTGGATGGAGAAATGTATCCATGAATTCAGGATCTCATAGATTACTTATCTACTGATATTTAATGAAAAATAAAACTAAATCCATTCTGACCTCCTACAGTATTACAAAGTGAATAGTATGTAAAGTCTACAGCAGCGGGCATGCCCAATTCTGCCCAAGGCTTTCATGTGATTTTGTTTTATCTGTTGTACTGCTTTCTTTTTCTTAAGCAATAAACCTGAATACTTAGTGCACTACTTTAAAAGCCTTCATATACTAATTTGACAGAAATATTAATCTTACATCTGGAGGATTCTCTGTATCTTATCTCATATTGAGCAACTAAAACTTTAGGAATTGCTGAAAAGCACATCCAAGTTCAACTGAACCTCACTCTAGTCTGGGATGTCCAAATTTGTTATCCAAATGTTCCTGACATGTTATTATTTATCTCCTTCCCTTGTTGTATGTATGACCCCCGTTGCTTTAGCCACTTAAGAGTATTTATTATACACTAGAATTTGCTTCTCTGACTGATATAAGGACCAAACTGCCAAAAGATGGAGTAAACAGACTCAGAGATGGTGTTTCTGGCATGTTCCTCGCAACATATTCCGCAAAGGAATATGTCAAGCGCTAAGACGGATACAGCTTAGTGTAATGTTAAGGTGTTTATTAAAATAGGAAAATTACAAAAGGTTACAAATTTTGGGAAAGATCACCAATATGAAACAAATCACTAACACAAAATAGCAGCTGTTATATTTTACAGTATACAAACATTTGAACAGAATGATCAAGGAATAAAAATACTCAAGTATGATATTTACAAAAATTACAATTTGTATGAGGCTTTTTATATTAGGGAAAATTAAATAACAGCAACGGTACCTTAAGAGCATTCGTTGTGGTTCATGATCTGCCACATGAGTATTGGTTTTAGCTGTTTAATCAGCCTTTCAGGAAGTTACCTTTCCATAAATTAGCCACTTTACAGACCTTCACTTTGATTGGAAACCTGTGTGAGACTATTAAAGGTTTGCATTCATACAATGATACTGAATACCGTTTGTTTCTTTACAAGAATTCCTGTGAATCCTGGCCAAATGACTTACTCACTGGTTAGAACATAAAACCCATTGACTTACAGCCAAATATATCATTTTTTGTGACTCTACTGTAACATTTCCAACATGATATTTACAGCAGTTATCTTAGAACTGAGAGTTAGAATTTTAGGTTTTAAATGCTGTTGCGACATGCACAAACATCCCCACAGCTACTTTGCTGCTGATAGCTGAGAAACACAAGGCCACTTGGGGCATCATTAGGTTAGGTTCTGGTTATTCTAAAGTTGTGGGAATGAGAGTCTTGTAAGCAAACCACATATTTATTTTTTCTAATCTGTGTAATGCTAAGTTGAAAGTGTCAAAAGTCAATTATGCTCTGATTTTTCATGTAGGGATTTTCCCCTCCCCTGATGATTTTGTTCATCTTGTTTATCCCTTTGCGTGGAACACCATTAATAACTAATATCAATGTTAAAGAAAAAAATGTGACTAACATATTCACCTAACAGACAAAAGATCACTGGTTTGAGCTTGAGAGGACACACAAATCCCTCAGAGGGTGCAGGAAAATGTGTCAAATCAGATATGCATATCCATCCGCTGTAGTGACCCCTTATAAGGGATCAGCCCAAAGAAGCTTTATTAATATGAGCGAAAACTGGATTAATCGGCAACTCTTGTCTCTTGTCAGGTCCTTTTATGAGCTAAAATAAAGTATAGAAGAGTGGTTGCAGTAGTTGTGCTACAGCAGGAACATCAACCAGCCAGCCTGTACCTGAGTAGGTTTTCGCCGTGTGCTCCAGCTTCCTCTTCCTCCATATTAGGTTAACTGGAGATGCTAAATTGGCTGTAGGAGTGAATGTGAACTTAAATTATAGTCTGTCTCCTTCACCCCATTTCAACTATCACTGCCTTAAGAAAAGATTCAAAATTTACCTGTGGGCAAAATAATACCATGAAACAAAGATCCTTGATTTTAAAGTTTGGCCATATGAGGCATATTGTACCTAATATTCTGCTCTGGTCTGTGTTATTTAAATGTCAGGTTTACGCCACAGTTATTTAAAAGTCTGTAATTCTTCGAAACAAGAAATTATCATCAAAATATCATGTGGAATTACAAATTTGTTTTGGAACAGTTTTTTTCATTTAGAAAAATAAATATACATTACTTAGAAGCAACCAGTCTCTTTAAATATTAAACATACTTAAGCACAAATAAGCCAATCTGACATTACCGAGTGACCCAAAAATATTCCAGATCTATAAGACCTATAAATTTATACAGCACAGCAGAAACAAAACAAATCTGCAGGTATCCACATACAGAGTCGCTTTCCATGAAACAAAAAAACCCCAAAACCTATAAAATATCCTACTGACCACACACAGCCCGCCAGGGGCCACAGTTCCCTCCAAACTGGAGACCAAATAGCCATGTTATATTTGGCATGGCTCTTCTTTCTCTCATGCTACAAATATTAGCATAAGATTTGGAGCAGTTTGCTCAGTCTTACTTAGACCCTCTCATGGGGAAAACTAATAGTTACAGCTAACTGGGGAAAAGGTAGTTCAGCTACTGCACACAATTAGCACTGCCAGGCTGAAAGGCTATTTTCACAAAGGGAACATAATAGGCAGATTGTAATGACATTTTCACGCATATATTTTCTTTTCTGGGACATGGACACCTTTAGTTGCTGTGATAATCACCTTAATACCAGATATGTACCTTTTTATGTCATGAAGGCCACATTTATGTCAATCCACATCGCTTGTGTTTAAGGTAAAAAGACCAGCTCGACACTTAAAAAAATTCTTCTTTCTTCATCTAAAAAAAAGAAAAGGTCCCAGTCAATGAAGGCTACCTAAAGTGATAACCACCAAAGAGTTGGGTTCAAGTATATTCCAGGAGATAATACTGAATCACAAGTGTCCTCCTCACTGTCATTGTTTGCATGGCTTCAGAAATTCTGAACATGTCAAAAAAAACAATTTGCACTCCGTTTATGTGCACAAGACTTTGATTTCGAAAATGCCGAGATCTCCTCATTTGCAAAATCGAAGAATGGGTGAGAACCAATTAGATGTCATCTACAGATGGCGACAGATTCCACCATAAAATCCAAACTTGTCACTATCATACAGTCGTTTTCTGTATGCCACCCAATAATCCATGTTGGAGATTTGTGGCCCAAGTTCCTCTGTCAGCTCTTGCAAGCTATGGTAGTCCCCTGTGGGTTGCTTTTCACACCACTCCATTAGTTTCTTTACACATTCGGGTAAAGTCTGAAGACTTTGTATATCCACTCTGAGTAGAAAGCAACATTAACAAAAAGTGCTGGCTGTGATGAGGCACATTTTGTCCTTTGGATGCTCACACCAATTATGACTTTGCGCTCATGTTCCTGGCAAACCAGTGGGCCACCGTAGTCCCTCTGCAAGAACAAAATAAAGACAGACTGTGGATTAGCAATAATTACACCAAAGCAAGTCTATAGTAATAATAATAATAATGATAATAATATAATGCTTAAAATATCAGTTCACCCACAAAACAAACATATTTTTCCATTTAAGCCTTACTGGCTTCAAAAGGCTTAGGTGTTATTTGGCTCTTTAAAACACCTGCTGCTCAACAAAGGGAACTATTTCTTCAGTAGAAAGTAGTTCCAATAAATGGTGTTTGTTACACAATTGTGGTGAAATGATCCTTTAAGCACCGAGCATTCAGTTCACATCCATGTTGTTTTGCTTCAGGATGCATTTGGCGATTTGAGATCCTTACATCACACACGCCTTCTCCCCTTTTCCCGCCAGCACATATTCTGCTTTCCCCGGCGTCTTCTTTGATGTGCGAGCACATGTCGTTGTCCACCATCGGCATGATTACAGAGTTAAGGGCTTCATCGTGTCCAGTATCTGCACAGAGAAGGATACAAAAAACACAATAAGCAATTTGTAAAAGGAACAGTGGGTTTTTTTGTCATTAAAAAATAACATGGAAAGCAGCATGTGGTTGAAAGAAGGCAGTACTTTTGGTTTCCCCCCATCCATACATGGTGCAGTTGGTGCCTTCAGGGATGCGACAGTCTTTCACGGGAAGATGAATGGTGGATGCACCTTCAGACACAGGGGCAGGACTAGAACCAACAGAAATCATCACAAATAAAAGCCAAAGCATGTTGCACGACCTTTCTTTTTAAATTTAAAGCACTCACAGTATTTTCTATCACTGTCTTTTTCTTTAACTAGAAGCATAAATCAGCTGACACTAGCCACTAACTGAGCACTTACTCTGCTAGCTTCAACATTACTAGGTTGGAGCCGTCTGGGCCACAGATCAGGCGAGAGACTCGTAGTCGCGGTCGGTTTTTAGACTCATCGAGGTGATGCAGACCGACCTGCACACTGTAATCCCGGAGATCTGGAACGCTGATGATTACAAGAGTCAGTGTAAGACAGAGTCATACAGTTTTTTTGAGTCGTACAGTGGATTACAGCCAAACGATGATTCAACTGACCGGATTCAATAGGAAATCCTGCCCAGATCTAGAGCAGCCTCTCTTTTAAACAAATCTCACAAAACTGTCTTTACAAATACTACTTTTTTTTTTAGTTAACACATTCCACTAGATCTTGATATTTTTCAAAAACACACTTACTTTCTTAAAATAACATTTCCTGAATGGCAAATGTGTATTTTTTTCATAGAGAAAAAAGCCAAAAAAAAGGCAAGGCCTCAAGCACCTCGAGGCTCCCCGCTAAATCAAAATATCGGCTAAAAGCTGCTGATCTACACCATATGTATTACTTGCAGCATTGCACATTACTACAGAAAAAAGGGATCTTTTTTTTTTAATCAAAGCCAGTACTACACATGACAGAGACATTGCACAAGGACAATATGATTAGTTCTGACATAAGCAACTGCAGGTTAAACAGCAGTCCAAAACATGCGGTCCCTATCTCAGGTCAAGTCTGTCTGGCAGTACGCTGTGCAGCCTTTAAGCAATTATAGATAGAAGCAGCAAAGGAAGCGTTTTTAAAGAAAGAAAGTAAAGTAAAGTCTGAAAAGGGAGAGAAATTACCAGGAGGTGAAGCACTGCTGATCTGTCAAAACCCAGTTCTCTCTGATTAGTGAGCCACCACACAAATGGACCTTCCTAGGAAAAGGTAAGAAGGAAAAATGGATCGATCACAGTACACAGCATAAACATGGATGAAGGTCTAGGCTTCTAAAGAACAAAGACTGGAAAACACTTACTGTCTTTGGATGCTTACAACCCAGCTGCCATCTGTACCTCGCACTTGATGTCCTCCAACTATTCTGGTGTTTATGTGCACAAAGCATGATATCTTGGGCCTCGTTTGAACTAAGCAAGGAGATATAATTGATACTGTGTGTTAGACAGATGTAGTTTTTTAACATTTCCATTGGAAAATATTTATCAAAACTTCAAAAGGAAACTATTTGTTCAGTTAGGTAAATATCAACAGACTGACTTGATCTACAGAGAGAGAGAGAGTTACAGAGGAAAGGAAGGAGATCAGAGATAAGCACATGAGAAAGAGGACCATTTTTGGTAAAAAGAAAGAAAAAGACATACTCACTATTTGTCTGAGGAGCCTTTGTAGCTGAATCACCTGATGTAAGTAAAGCAAAGTACAATATGAACATACACCCCACAGCAGCAGGGAACATACAAAACATGAAACCTGAGTAAATATGACAGCCTTTTATACTTTATAAAGGCTTATCTCTGGATCGAAATAATTGCTGGGGGCTATATTAGTCAGCAACCGCAACAAATAGATTTGCTCGAGACCTTAAAACTTCACGGAAGACGTGTTTTACATTATGGAAAATATTCAATGCAGCTTCACTGAAACCAGCCAAAGAACATGCAGGATCCAGTGGCCCAAGTGTGTGTTTTCTCAAATGAAATGGCAACAGACTTTCGCATCTGTTTGCTGTTTGAGCATCGTGTATTCTCTGCCAATTGGACTAAACCACAGCGAACAGATTACGTAAGCCGCCCAGAAAGCTGTGCAAGAAAACAATTATGATATTTTGGTTGAAGTCAGTAAAGGCTACGAAGCTAAATCACTTGTGTTATTTCAATGTACTACACCCACACATCAGCACTTCTTCTGTTCTAAATGTCATTACATGTTCTTTCAGATGTCCCATTTAAACAGTCCCAAAGGCTCTGAAAACTTCTTCTTTGTTTGATAAAAAGGAAGCACATTTAGTACCCCTCAGTTTCATAACAAGCTTCTCTGCCTTTAAAGACAGCCATGTTATTGATTTGTGAGCAATGCTTCTCTCCTGGGTGTTACAGGCTACCTAACACAGCCTTGCTGGTTAGCTTAGCACAAAATTAAATAGGGACATATATTCCTAAGCAGCTTTAAAGCTTTTAAAAGAAGGTAATGCCCAAGTGCCAAAAACTGCAGTTGCTCTAATGGCCACTTAAGACAGGTTCAGAAAGCCAATCAATCCGCAAAGGCCAAAGTGGGTACAAAACATGGATGTAGCTTCTGGGTATGAAAAATGAACCCAGTACAGAAAGTCATTAGCTAAAACTTTTTAGCCAATAAGCTTGTGGTTTAAGTCAGACCCACCCTTTATAATCACATCTTTTTTCATAACCAAGATGGTGATCACTCATTTTGAGGTTTCAAAAGTGATCCATCTATTACATTGTGCATGCATACACTCCCATGTTAAATGCCCAACTTTGAAGCAAAAATAAACACATTTACAGCAAAGAATGAAAATGATTTGATGGCTAATAGCTAACATTTACACTGACTGTATGGTGGTGTTTCTTTTTATATATTACCCAAGTTATAAACATCAAATTTATGACTTAAATGTAAGCATTAGGAAGGAGTTGGCTGCCAGAAATGATGCTGTTTTGCTTTGTTTGGGTTTGGCTGCAGTTAAAGTCACTCGGGTACATAGTTTTTACTTTAAGCTTGTTGTCATTAGCCAAATAATAGCATCTCATTTAATATAGTGAATTACAGAACCAATTACAAACCAAGCTAGTGTTAGCTGGCAGCTCTGCAGGTCTGCCTTCTCATCCAAATATCATCACATCCAACATCAAAAAGCCCAATATGGCAAAATTAAATATTTGTGGCTTCAAAGCTGTGGCCTCCAAACCACCGGATGATATAATAAACATCCATCTGTTCTGGAAAGTCAACAGTTATATCACACTTGTTTAGTATGTGTGAGTATTTAGTATTAGTATGGATGAGTTGTGGTCCTGTTGGTCTTTGGCTCTCAAAGCTTATCAGATATTGGCACTGACTACACATTTACATACACACATACACAGATATCTTTCATTCTCATTCTACTTGGGTAAACACAGATATTATCTACTTACCGAAACTTACATAGGGTAAATGTTTATTTAAGGAACTCACAGTGTTTTAGTTTACAGTAATCCCAGGCCAGGCGGTTATTTGGACTGGTGTAACACCAGGGGCCGTGTCTGTCGCGATCTGGGTTCCTGCAGTAGTTCTTCTCCAGCCCTACATGGGACACCGTAGAGTGAGAATCCCCACTGTAAAACACACAAATACAGATTATCATATCCCATGTGTTATTTTGCAGAAAGACAAAAACTAATACTGGGTCATATCTCATAAAGGTGGGCACATGTGTACATGGAGTTGCACAAATGCTGTCAGGCACATATATTACATACACACGAAAGTAACCGTGGAATGCCTAGAAAATTCTGACTCTGGCTCTCCTATAATGCAATGAATCCTCAACATTTGCTGCTTAGCCTGTAGAAGGAAACGCAGAGTTTTGCGAAGAGTGCTCATGGGAGTTCAAAAGTATGCAGTCTAAGCGTTCAGCAGGGTTCAGACCAGCAGGAACCACATCCTCTATGGAATGATGCAGTTTTGCTTCTGATTTGTAGGAATTTATATCTAATTGTGTGTCATCTAAGCCATCCACAATACCCGTAAAAAAACAGTCACTTGGTAAGAGTTCAGACACGCGCACACAAAAAGGATTCTAATCAACTGATAATTTGTAAGGGGGTGAAGACAATTCTACTTCCCAGGAGAATGTTAAACAATGTTGTAGCTCTGAGCATGTTTCCTAGTATGACCCTGAGCCTTGAACAGAGTAGACTCGCTGGCTGCATTCTACGGGAGGGAGCTGATTGGCTTTGATCTACTTTCCTAAGAAAGCACTTCCTGGGGTCAAGGGTCGGCTCTGGAACATGTCCATCTGTCTGTGCCATTTTGGCTTTTAAAATTCCTGTAAATTAAGTAATTCCAACAGGCTGACTTCAGCGTGAAGTAACGGCCTTGGAGCGGGCAGTCTTTCCCCCAGTATGGGTCACTTTGAGAGCACCCTTGGGTTTCCTCTCGTCAGCTAGATGAATAATAATTGGACCTGGTATTGACCCCTGTGGAACCCCTGATTTCCTCTTGCTGTTTGTTTTCAGTGCTTAGCCTCATTCATTTGAAAGGGATTTTCACAAGGCAATGGGAGCTAAGTTGTCAACAAACACTCATCAAGTGAGCTGAAAAGAATGTCAATCTCTCTAGGAAACAGTTGCAGGGTTGCTCGGTACGGCTGGAGTTGCACTGGGAGCCAACAACAGAAATGCAACAAAAGTCTTTGCAGAACAAATTATTTCATTACCTGTTTATGTGATGTGACCAGTCTGCACAGGGAATCCCCGATCGAGTTATGGATAAAGTGCCCCGATAAGTCTCTCCATTCTCTTCATAACACTCTGAGATAGAACAGGATAAAATTATTCAGATGACTTTGTTAAAGCGCTGAAGCTTAGTGAGCCCAACACCTCTTCATGTTGGTGGAATACTCACAAACACAAATTCATGTACTTGCAGAGACAGAGAAAGAATTTGGGTCTATGCTTGTCTTTGTGGTTTGGACCATTTAATATTATGGGTCTCTGTGTAAACGGTGTCTCCCAAATCTCATTATTTCTGGTCTTAAATAGAATCAGAGAAGGGTCTTTAGTTGCAAACTGACTGGCTGCTTTGAGACGTGTGTGTTCTACAAAATGCAAAGCAGAGAAACATGGGAAATGACAACGAGCAGCTATTGCCAAAGTCTGGTGTTGTTATTCTTGCATGAAATGGAATTCGTTGGGCAGCCCTTTGCCAAGTGGCTCAGTCTCATGAGAGCAGTATTCTTCTACTTTACAAAAGCATGACATCTCTTTTAAAACATCTGTAGTTTGGAATTCAACATGGAAATTTCCTAGTAATTGATTGAATGTACTTTGTTATTTACTTTTAAAATATTCTAGTAATTTTAGGAGAAAAGATCGACACTTTTGCAAATATATATTCTCAAAATTAAAGACTGAAGAAAGCAATCTGGCCCTGTCTAAAAGCAACAACATTGAACACTTTAGAATGTATTTCTTTAAACTGATATAACAAAAAAAGATTTAACAAAGCCGATTTTGGCTTTATGTCAAATGAACCTGGCTTTGAGCCATAACCTTTACTCAAAAGTGATGACAAGACTCTAAGTTGTTTTTACAATACATTTTTTAAAACACTAAATAAACACGATTGGCTGTGCTTGCTGTTACTCCCTTTTTTATACAAAGCAAACAACTGCATTCCCCAAAACACTGAGCAATTCTCAGAAATTAATTTTCATAGAATTTACCTGCTTTTTGTGTAGCCTCTGCACCACATCTGGGGATGTGGGTGCAATTGGCTATCCTCTGATTAGGGTTTGTAGTGAAGCACCATGGGTAATCTGCACCATCAGGATTGCGACAGTAATTCTCTCTGAGGTCTCTATAACACACACACAAACTACAATTTAAATGATGATGCCGATGATGGTGTTAAATGCACAAAATACTTTCAAGTACTCTTCTTGACATTCCTGAGAGAAGTGAATCCATGCTGTCAGCAGCTATGAAGCAGCCGTTACTCACTTGCATTTGTAGTTCTGCGGAAGAAATGAGTGGCTATGTGGGAACTGGGAATCCCAGCGCTGGCATGTCACACCTTCCGGGGTGACATTCATTGTGCCTTGGTAGTCTGTGCCCTTTCCCTGGACACAGGAAGTTGTTACTTCAACATCGGAGTCCTCGGTAGGGTCTGAACCTGAAACAGATAAATGTCATTGTAAGGTGGAAGCATGCAAAAAAAGAGAAAGTCACTGAAAAAGCAAACTGTAGTCAGGAATGAGGGAGGAAGAGAAGGAGGGGAATATTAATCCCTACAAGAATGTGTCATGTTTAACCTAGAGGCAGATGATCAAAAACAGTAGCCCTTCCCCCTGCTTGTATAGTAATAGAAACTTACTGTGTGTTCATACCAGTGGTGCCTGACATTCTTTCACGTATGGACATCCACAACAATGAGAAGTTGGTTAACTTGCTGACAGAACAAGTCGCAGAGCTCGAAGCCTGATCTTATTTATACCTTTGCTTCAAAATTAAACACTGACATTATGATTCCTGTGAATTTCTCTATTGCAGGCCAACTAAAGAAAATGGCAACAAACCCAGTCTGATTTGGTCGATATTATCCACTGGCAGACTATTCCAAACATCTTTAGATGGAATTCTGGTGTTCCGCATAGCAGTGCAGGGGTAGCACTACACAGTGAGCAATTTCCAGATTTCTGTCTTTGTTTCTTTAGCCTTTGACAAATGGGATGGGGGAAGATGGAGGAGGCGAGGGAATGTTTCGAGGTTGAAACGAGAAGGCGTGTGCAAAAGGATTCTTTGGCTTGATGTAATGCATGCCAGTATCTGTGTGCACAGTGTAGCACAGGTCAGTGGTTTTTATCTTTCTAAGGGCAGGCATTGAGGGATACACACATCTGGACAAATGCAGATGCTCGCTGTAAATCATAACCTGTACAGTAAAGTCAATGCGTGTATGTGTCTGACAGAGACAAAGAGAGATGCTCTGTGAGGTTGTGGGTGTGCATATGGGAATATTTCAATGCAAATTCTCCAATTTCGCAACATCTTTTCTAATTTCCATTGATTTCATTTTCTCTCTGTCTTTTCAATTATATATAAAGGCAACATGTTATATATACTTGTCCCCGTATGGGACAAAACTAAAAAAAAAAAAGTTTAACTAACATCCAGAATACAACAGTGTATAACAGACACATACTTTAATTACTGAATTATATATACATATATTTATAGGGAGAGAGAGTGGGTGGAACAACGTGCAATAAAGGGTCCAGCGTGGACTATAACCCAGGCCCCTGGAGAAGACTTTGGGCAAATGGTTCATCTGCACAACCCAGTTAGCTATACCTGTCTGTTATAAAATGCACATTCATACCTAGTATCACTCAGATTTCCACCTTCTCCATCTTCCAGGACAGTCATTTTTGATCAGTGAATGACCCCAGAAGGGTTTCCTTAGTGCAAAACCTGGAATCAGTAGGAACTGTCAAAGCAAATATCTCTACTAGCACCTCTTAAGCTCACTGTTTAACATTTTAGATCCAACTTCTGGAGGCAACGCAAAGATGCCAAAAACTGCAATTCCTGGGTCCAAAAATGAATCAGTCAAAGGCACACATGTTAACATGCTTAACGTCATGTTTACTGCCTGGTGTAAAAAAACAAAAACAAACTTTATATATATAATTTTCCCCTTTGTGACAAATATATGGGCCTTTTTTTTTAAATATAACTCCATTCATCCATCCATTCTCTTTGGCTCGCCGAGGGGATGGGGGGGAGCCTGTCCCACTTGTCTTAGGGCGAGAGGCAGTGTACACCCTGGACAGGTCGCCAGTGCTGCAGGGCTAACATAGACAGACGACAATTTGCACTCACATTCACACCTATGGGCTATTTAGAGTTACTAATTAACCTAACCCCACTAACTGCATGTCGTTGGACTGAGGCAGGAAGCCAGAGTACCCGGAGAGAAGACCATGCAAACATGAGAAAAACATGCAAACTCCACACAGAAAGACCCCGGCCTGACGGTGGAAGGACCTTCTTGCTGTGAGGCAACGATTCCACCGTGCTGCTCATCTGTTTAAATTGTATAAAGGCTCAAGGTTTTGCATTACAAGGGGCTTGGCCGATGTAAGCCACAAACAGGTGCCAAGTACACTTCTATCTGTCTGCTAGAGTTTGGGAGGACCTTTTTTTTTTAACATAATCTTTATGCAAATATGGCTGCCATAATGTGAAAGTTAAGGCATCAAAATAAGAGCCCACCAAAAAAGTGTTACTTTTATGGCCACGCAATATAATTCACATCCATCATTCTCCTGTTCAACAAATCATCCCTTTACCCAACATGCCCTGTAAGGAAGCATATGCAACTGTTTTGCTCTTTGTGCATTATTTCAGGTCTTTTCTCTAATTTCTCTATAAAATTGCATCATTTTGCAATCAATGTTTACACCACTGAAACAACTTTTAGACTTTCCGATTGCAATGTGTGGTATTTTGGCATAACAACCTCTATTGTAGTCCTCCACTTTATAGCCCTAAATGGCTTCAGTAAAACACTTCAAGCTTTGTGAAGTTATAACTGCCCTCTTGCAAACAGCCTATTTAATGTCCCTTGCTGAGGTAGAATGACTTGGAGCAAACGCCCACATGAAAACACCATCCGGATAAACAAAAGTCTCCTGAGACTTTGCTGGGGAGAAGGGGACCTTTTTTTTTTTTTAGCTCGGTTGACCACAACTGCTCCAAAGACACCAAAACTTGTATGTATCGATTCCCTGTTGAACATTTAAACAACTTGCTTGTGGTAAAAACCAAATCCAAAAACCAAAGCTTGCTCAATCATATGTTCACTTCTGAATCCTGTATTACATTCTTACATGTGTGACACATGAATGCTGCAAGGGTAATGCATTTTGAACCAATATAAAGTCATAAATCCGAGTAAAACAATAATTTGTTGCTCTCAGTTTGTTTGAAGACTTTGTCCTCAAAGCCCTAGCCTCAGATTTGGAGTATATACAGTGCACAGTCTCTTACCACACACAGTGATGTTACAGTACTCCCATGGAGTTTTGGGATCCATGGTGTAACACCAAGGACGGAGGCGGTTATTCGGGTTCCTACAGTAGTTGTCCTTTAAATCTTTGTCCCGATACCTGAAAAGAGGGACAGAGAATGTTAAAAAAAGAAGGTGGATTTAAGTAAGCCATAACAAATCATGAGATTTACCTCTCTTTTTTAAGCCTGTGTCATGGATGTGTGCTGTTGTTATCTGTGAGAAAGATTACTATGTGATCTGCAGCTTACTTCTTGGGCTGGAAGGGGTGTTTGTGAGGCCTTGCCGAGTCCCATCTCTGGCACTCTTTGCCACTCTCTGTATGGTCCATTTTACCCCGGTAATCCTCCCCGTTACATGTCATGCAGACATCTGTCAACAAAGAAGCAACAGTTATCAAAATGTTCTTTTGCCTATGAAGGAAATCGAAAAAGAATCGTGTCCTTTAAAAAAAAAAAGAACCACGCAACGGATAAATCTCCTTTGGTTTTATTTGTTTAAATCTTATTTTCTAGTGCTAATACTTCATGGGTCTCACCTTCTGAACACTGTGGTATGCCACACTCCTCAGCTCGTACATTGGGATCTGTGGTGTAGCACCACGGACCACCGGGATCGTTGTTAGGATTCCGACAGAAGTTGTGCCTCAGGTCTTGCGTTGGGTACCTATCTGGATAAAACCTACAGGGGTGTAGACACACATAACTGAAAGTGTTACCTGATACTGTAAGCTGTATAAATACATTTCTGGGAGTACTTGCACACTTGACTGCTCTGGTTTTGTTTACAGTACCACACCTGCACGCTAGTGCTCTCAGTAACAACCCAAATAAATTCAAAAGGCATTTACATTACGGCGTATGCCTCCGCTCTGTGAAATACGATAGCAAGACCGGGTTACATTTTACATCCTCTCGCAGCAATCTTATGCAAATAAGGCATCAATATGCCTGCTTTAGCCAGATTTGCACCTCCTGCACAATCGCCTTAGTGACTCCAACCACATCTCCCCTCCTTCAAGTATGAAGCAGCGAAACTGTCACAGCACAGCAATCTCCAATAGCACAGAACACCGTTATGCACCACTTGGAGCATCCCATGCAGGTCTTTTGCTGGCTGCCCTGTGAACATGTTTAAACCTAATCCCCAATGGCTCCATGTAGTGAACAAGACTTTAAGAAACAGAACCCGGACCGTCCAAGCAAGTCTGTACAGTCCGGGGATTCCCATACTAAATGGACAGTGTGGGAAATTTGTCTTCTTTCGTGGCAAGGCGACCAAAAGCCGGTATGTCAGCAACTCCCTGATACATGCCGACCACTATCCCCCCTCCCACCCAGGGAGACATTGAAGCAAGGCAGAAGAAAAGGTGAAAAGAAACAAGTGAAGAGACTGATTCCAGTACACACAAAAATCTTAATGGAGTGAGCAAAAGGGAATAAGTTCATTGTTTAACTAATGACGTAAGAAACAACTTGCAGGAACAATTAAAAAAAGTAAAAGAGGTAGAGGCCACCCTCCCTTTAGCAGCTTGTCTAAAAACTACCTCAGGCAATGACTCTTAAGGGAGTCTGCTCTGCTTTCCCCTTTGTGCCCAGAGGCTTATGCAAGATTTCTCTAATAATGTACAACATCAGTCAGCCCAGAGGTGGGAGAAATCACAGGCATCTGACTTGGTCAAGAGAAGCTGAGTGCAAAGGAGAACGAAAGGGAGGACCATTAAAATGCATAGTTTTACCTACATGTGTCAAAATATAACAGGCCATACACCAAGTTCTCACTTATGCATGTAGCCCAAACTAAAACAAAAACACTTGTTCCCCTCCAAAGCAGCAGTTTCCACGGGCCAAAACTCACATCTGCTGAGTGTAAATCAAAAGCTCAATAGGCTGTATCTCGATCATAATACAATATCCTTAATTTATAAATGGAATTACAAGGTTACTCACTTTGCAAAAAGAAAGAAAAGTCTGCATCTGCTGAAGCTCCGTAAAAAAGGACCCAGCATGGGAGCAAGTTAGTCATAATGATGTTGTGCTAACAGATGTTGACCAGCTATTCATCTCCTTGCCAAAATCTGTTCCCAGCGGAGCACAGGCAGACACTATGTGCACATGCTTCATTCTCGGGGACGACTAAACATATTGGCTGGATTTGGGGTAACACTCAAGATGAAATCTAGACCTGAAGTAACTGCTGCAAAATGTCTATCAATACTCACACCTGGTGGAACAATGCTGTGATTTAGTACTAGAGCATCCGAATAATAAAGCAGTCGGAGATTAAAGCAAGCAGACCAAGACACAATTTATCTTTGTGCATAAATAATTACTTCTGGAAGCAAGGTGCAACGGAAAACTCTGTGCCGAAAGGAAATGATATAAAATTAAAGAAATTTGCTACTTCAGAGAGGGTATGAGAACTCAGTCTCATCTTTTAAATATGGCTACAGCTTAGTCTGGCTTGGCCTGACGCTATCCAAATGTGACAACATCTGTGAACCAGCACATCTACGCCTACAGCATTGCTCATTAATTAATAATTAAATCAACCATGCACAGCTGTATTTTTCTGTTTCCAATTTTTATGGTAAGCAAACTCACTGTAGTCACAAGAATCTATGCAGTCTTGTGAAAAACTAACTACACTCCACCATTAAGTAGCTTGCAGAACCACCTTTATGTACAGCTCTCTTAAGGACTCGCCACAGCATTTCAATCAGGTTGAGATCTGGACTTTTACTGGGCCATGGTAACACCTTGATTTTTTTTTCTTTTTCAGCTTTTCTGTTGTAGATTTGCTGCTATGCTTCAGATTGTTGTTGTTGTTTCAGACAAGCATTGGCTGTCATACAGATGGTCTCATATTTGACTCTTGAATTATTTGATATACTGAGAAGTTCATAGTTGAGTCGCAGCCTGCAAGGTGCCTAGGTGCTGTGGCTTCAAGAGCCCCCATCATCACCACCATTTTGCTTGACAATCGGTATGAGGTTTTGTTGCTAGTTTCTTGCTAGCTTGCATTTTGGACAAAGTCTCCTCTTTGGTCTCAGATGCCTTTTAAGAAGTCTTGTTGTTTGTTCAGATACCCCTTTGCAAAACCACTGCGGTTTCCATATGATTAGCTAACAATTTTAGCTGCTAGCCATACTTGTTCAGTCTTTCTGTAATAGCACTATCATGAAATGTATAATTTGACATTCTAACTGACGCCTATTAAGTTTTACTTTGTGGATAGGTCTACTGTTAGCCAACTACTAATGCATACTTTTATCCATTTCAACCAAAGACTATTTTGTACTCTCACTGGTTTAATCGGTTTCCATATTATTAGCTAACAATTTTAGCTGCTAGCCATACTTGTTCAGTCTTTTTTTAATAATAGCACTATCATGAAATGTATCATTTAGCATTCTAACTGAGGCCTATTAATTTTTACTTCGTGGATAGGTCTACTGTTAGGCAACTACTAATGCATACTTTTATCTATTTCAGCCAAAGACTATTTTTTACTCTCACTGGTTTTATCAGTTTCCATATGATTAGCTAACAATTTTAGCTGCCAAATGATTAGCTAACAATTTTAGCTACCGCATTGATAACCTCCTAAGACCTGAACTCTTCCATGGCATGCATTTTTAATTTCTCTTTGATATTTGGACATATTGGGACCCGATGAATGTAAAAACAAAGAATTACCAAATTTTTTTTTTTTACCCGATTTTTGTTTCTGAGAAAAATGAGATCCACATATGAGGATATTTGTTTAAAATTTCAGTAGAACAGTGGCAGTATAATGTCCTCGTAAGTGGATATGAGGCCCTTGTAGAGCAAAATTTAGTATTTTGGTCTAGACAACCCAAAATGTGATGTCCACATTTATGGATGCCAGGTCCTAGGAGGTTAAATAAATGTTTTCGAAAACAGAAAAATAGTTCCCTGTTTTTTAGAATAATTAATCTCTGTGCAGCGTGTTGCTAATCTCTTTTTCCCTATGTTTTGAAAGGTTAAACTTTCAAAGGTTAAACTACTAAGATGCTAAATATTTTCTATTCAAGAAAATCATAAATCAAAGCTGTAACTATGCGTGTGCCTGTAGCTGAGAGCATTCACTGACATCCCATTGGAAAAATTAGTAGAAAAACAAAAGAAAGTCCCTAGGGGTACAGATAAATGATTACAATATTATCTATTATTATTAATACGAAGAAAAATATTCCATTCTCCACGCTTGGCTGGACATCAGTGCACATTTCTTTCGGAGCCTTGGTTCAAACACTAAATATAGATAACAGGTGGAAGTCCCTTTCCGGGAAGGGAACCTCCTGAGAAATCACCCCTGCCCCACACTGATCAGTCAAGCGTGAAAATAATAGTTACCTGAAACTCAAATGGTGCGTGGTTCATTATGGTGGTAATTCTCACACAGCGGGATAGTCCCATGTTAGGTAACCCATTAAATCTTCCTTAAGTAAGCTCCCTGTGACCCTCCGAAAGTCAAAACGGTAGAAGTCCCCTTCTAACTGAGAAGGAGACTGGGACCATGTGCCAAATAAACAATGACAAAGGATTCAGAATGTGAATAACTGCTTCTTGAAATGAAAATAGGACTTAAGGGGAATGTGGAAGAAGGGGGGTAAAAATGGATCAACATTTCATTCTCTTGATTGTATTACTGACCTTGTATTTTCTCTCAGTAATATTGTGGCTTTGTGAGCTCAGCTGGACATCAGACAGAACATGACTTCAGTCTATAAGTCTTTGCACCTTCTTTCTTTCATTTTTACCTCCATTCTACTTTTTTTCACACTGCACTTCTTCAAACGGTTATTATTACCCCCACCCCGCCGCCTTAGCTGCAGTTAAAATATCTTATAACTAACGAGCACCACTAATGAGGCCCTGGCACAGAACCATCTTTGCAAATTCACTGATTTTGCCTTGCTGTGCCTGGGAGAAAACATCTTCGGGGATACACCTGATGGTCTGGAGTGCTCCAAAAAAAATAAACAGCCCCACCGGGGAGGAGGTGGCTACATGTGTTGAAAGAAATCTGACTTAACTCTGGATAAACGTTCAACTGTCTCTGAGCCTCCGCCTTCCCTTAACCCCAGAGGTGCAAGGGGATGAACTGAACATCAATAAATCAGCTTCCGAGGCCTGTTCAGTGTCAGACACAGAGAAGGAGCATCCAGGAAGGTGGTGGAAGCATGGAGATTAGAGACGCAAGCTTTGAAGCCTGTTGTTTCAAATCTACAAGAATCTGGTAAGGGGAAGTGAATGATTAACATGTTCTCTTCCTTAAAAAAAACCCTCTGGTGTACAGCTGAGTAAGGCATCACAAGTAACTCTTCTTCCTCGAACACGATCTGAATGGAAAAATGCACTTGCTATTGACTTCCCTGTGTAAAAGACGGGACTCGGAGCATCCCAATTATAGCGTAAATCACATCAGCCGAAATGGTAGGTTCCAGATGGGGCTGCGCTGCTCCCTTTCAGTTGCATTTCCTTCTCTGTATCTGTGATTGCTCACCAATAAAGGCATAAATTTAAAAAAAGAGAGATGACTTACGTGTGCTCATTGATGTTATTATCTGACCAAGCTTGGCAAGTGATATTTGACTTTGTCCATGACCTCCTTCCTCTGTAGTTGTCCATGGTGCCAGTGATACACTCCCTTATGTAATCTAAATAACAGCAAAGGCATAAAAAAGTATATGTGTTAATTCAGATATAATTCCTGCAATTAAAAGTTAATTTGCCTTTACAGCCTTGACCTCCTGGACTTTATTTTCCCATATATGGTACATTTTGTATTTTTGTTTTTTCACAGCCAGCATTTAGTAGATCCCAGCTTGTGTGTTATTCCCTAAACAGACGACTCCCTAAAGTTCATTAAATGTCACCGGGGGGAGCTTTTGTAAATTCTGTAGCACAGTCTAAAGTGCTAGATTCCATAGCTGACTCTTGAGAGAGCTTTGCGCTCTGACTGTAAGCAATGATTTTTTGTTGTTTATATTCCACTTAGGTCTTTGACGTGCTTTTGCATGCGACTTTCCCCGCTGGGGTGATTAAACAGCGGGGGGGAGAGGTGGCTCGGTTCCTTTTATTGCATCAACAGAGAAACCAAAGACTTAAAAAACTGAGGAGCAATCAGCAATTACACATTTTGCCCGTGTAAATACCTCCCCGCACCTGAATGTTCTCATGAGAAAAAAACAAAAAAACAAAAGCGAATTACATCGAATTATTTTTGGGGCTTTGCCATTTACCTTTTTTTTCGTATAAAGTAAAGTTGATGCTGGCCTGCTTCTGCACATTGTTGGTGAAACGGTCAAAAGGAAGCAAGTGGCATTTCTTGCTGTGCCGCTGAAAGTTAAAGGCTCTGAAAAACACCCAGGAAGTAGTTGAGAGATAAACAACTGATAAAACAAGAAAAATGTGTAAATACCAGAAGGACAACAAGAGGATTGAGGAAACCTGGTTATAAAAAAACCATGTGCGGGAAATCAGATAAACACAGGAACAAAATATAATTCACCTGCAGTTGAAGTTTTTCTTCACTTTGCATTTCCGGGCACAGCGTTCCTCTGAGTTGCTGGTTCGTATCAATGGGAGCTGAGGACAGTCTGTGCAAACCAGCATGTGGCTTTCAGTCTTTTCATACCTTTGTAATAACTGACGAGACTTTCTGCAGCAACCTGCAAAATACAAGGACACAACATGAGATCTGCACATGTTAAAACATCCATTAGATCAGATAATAAGCCTGTTTACGCCAAGGATCACCTCATATGGGAGTTGCTCTCTGGTTTTTAACGTCTTTTTAAGCATCTTCGATGAAACTTTTAATTTACAATGACAACATTTCATAGTTTAGCATCTGGCTGAAACCTTATCCTTAACCCTAGATGAAATCACTGCTCATCTTTTGGATTTTAAGAGGTTAAATATCATTAATATCACCGTAAAAGTTGCATATCTAACTTGTAAACCAATTTTGTTTTATTGTTGGACTTTGATATATAGCTGGCAACTACTTTTGCCCCAGAGATTTTTTTTCAGGGTCTTCTAATATGACTGCACGTAAGCCTTAAACATTGGCGTCCTTGTGAACACTGTATAAGTGCTGGCTGGCAAGGACTGATTTAATCAGTGGTCAGTCTGGGAACCCATCAGCCCATCATCAGGAGTCATCAGTCCGATGACCCCTGGGGATAATACTATTTTAGGGCTGGCAAATGTAATCCCTCTTTTGTTGTCTACATTGAATATTTACCTGCCTGTAACCAAGGTCCACTTAAAGGTGATGCTCAGTACTGCTTGGACTACAAGCAGAAAACACAAAGCTTCTAGCACCACATATTTTGTTCTGCACCTGAAGACTGGTCACAGATATCTTCGTATGAGAATGCACAATGTTCAGCTCTGTGAAAGCTGCTTATAAGACATTGAGGTGGCATTGTTCTTTGAAGCCATTAGCATTTAAAGCCTCACTCCACTCAGGGGTATTAATAGCATTTGGGCCGTTCTGGTAATCGAATGGATCACAAATTGTGTATGCCAATTTGTAACCACTGTTTTTGATGTGGGCCAGGGATCTTGGTTTCTATACTGCATCTTCATTAACAAAGTATAAAACCTTAGTCATGCACTGCTCTAATATTAGTGCTGTTATTAAGGAGCTACTGCCAAGAACTAAAGTTTTCTCATGGTGTCACCATTGAGGTTATCAGGCAGCGTGACTGCTGGTTTCAGCGAGTTGGCATCAAACAGGGAGAAAAGATGAAATTATTTCCCCATCATCCAGTAAACTGGGTGGCCAGCTGATGATGAAAACATCCTTCAAATATAGTTTGCTTCAAGCCTTGTGTTTGCTGGCACGTCAGCATCCACACACTGAAGTGTTTTGTGCAAGTCCGGAGCTGTTCCAAGCTCAGCTGTTCTGCAATTCTTTAGATACAATGTGCAGCCTCAGCTGAAGTAACAGGTAAGTCAGGTTATGTTTCAGGATAAAAAATCAGTACGAAAAGTGGCCGGAAGCAAAGCCCTGCATCAGTCTGAGGTGCTTTAAATGAGCAGATTGGGCAGCCAAAAAAACAAAACCAACGGGGGGTGGGGCAGATCTTGTTTCATAGGAAAACTTTAACATCACTCATAATTTCTACAATATAGTAAAATTTTATGTATCAAATTTTATGCATAGTCTCTCAGCTATTGGCAATTGGCTGGATGCTCATGTGGAAAAATGGAAACGCTTCAAATACATAATTCATTCTTGCTTTATTTATAGGCATTTGTTGAGAGCTTTTTCCTAGAAAGAAGTACATCAAAAGGAAATTCTACCATCGGAACAATGTGGCATGATGCATATGAGCTCCAACTGGGTTCAAAAGCAGGACAAAACCATATTTTAAAGCCTAAATCCCCCTAGTGATGCAAATCATTCATTTTTACGGACTGGAAAAAGTTAAGATCCCGTCTTTCAGCGGTATGAAACCTTTCTGTAAAAGACGCTTCTGAACATCTTTAGATGGGTTGTGTGTCTGCTCACAATAGTTTCGAGTTTACAATTAAGAGCAAGTGCAACATAAATCACACCGGAAGATCTTATGCTACTGAATTACAGCTACACGCTCCTGTGCCAAGATCCGACACATGACGCTGTGTGTGTACTTAGGATATTGTAAACTGTGGAGCGTTTAGAGGCTCCTCGTGGTTGAAAATGGTTTTCGGGGAGGACGTGTTATTAATGTTTTTGGGCTCCACTGGACCACATCTGGCACGCATCACAGTGTTGTTTCAGCCCTGATGTCTGGCCAAGCTGCTCAATTAGATTTCACTTAGTCTCTTCCTCTCCTTGCACTCAGCTTTCTGCTATCTCCACATCCTAAACATTTGCTGAGGTTGAAGATTATAATAAAAGGTGCTCAGTGAGTGAAAGACATCAGATTTAATAAGAAGAGGCAGCCGCAGGTTAGAGGAACAGCTCGGAGTATCTAGCTGAGCTTGAAAAATGCAGATAGCTAAGGTGAAATGCCGACACTCTGACCTCAGAAACTTCCACTTAGGTGCCCTTGAGCAAAGAATTTAACTCTCAGCTGGATAAGCGTTTTAGTCACGCTTTCCTATGTAACAATACCTCACTTTGTAATAATAATAATCATTATTAAGAATATAAATGTTAGGACAGTGCAGACGAAAATCTGTATTACATGAACAACAGGAAAGTAACAGGTTAAAGGTGCGCCTCTGTCTGGGAATTACGCAGACATTACATCTGCTTCAGAGAGCGCAAAATGTGGTAGTGGGCTCAGCAGCCAGATGTTAAACCCTCCACACACACACACACCTCCCCTCCCTCACACATATACGCACACACACCGTTTCCATCTCTCTATCGGGAGAAACGCACGAAAGGGCCAGCCAAAGTCCGGGCCGCGCATTACTTTCCCCTCACCTCCGGGCCGGTCAGATGTCAGGGTCGGCACCCCTGGAGGTGGTAACTACGGATTCAGTGGTCAGATGTCAGCGGGGCGGATGTGACTCTGGACAGCCCCCAGATAATCAGCGCTTGGTGAACATAGGAGCAGCCCGCACGGTGCTCGTTTACAAGACCGGTTGCCGTGTGTGAACCCCAGGCTGTCTGGCATCCTCTCTATAGCTGGCATAAGCCCAACAGACACAGGAGTGTCTATTACTAAAAGGACCACGACCAATGAAAGATTTTCATGACAAAGAAGCAGAGTCATTCCAAAAAAGTGCGCTGGAACGGGTTTGGAGCTGGAATTTAGAACCGTGCACGTCCTCAATGTGGAGGCAGAAACTTGTAGATCCCGTCTTAATTACAGAAACTTTAATCACACCAATGTGAACTCTTGAACTATTTGCTGTTAGAGCAGCAGGTAAAGTGAAAAGAGTGATGATTTCATTCAAAGTCTTAAAGAGCGCAAAGGTTATAAAAAGTTGATTCCTTCTAAAAACCAACAACAACAACAAATAAACAAACCAAAAAACAACAACGTAAGTCATTATTATTTTCTCAGGAACTTTTCTGAAGGAGGTCTGTGATCAAGGTCATTCAAAAGCACGAAGTGTCATGGTGTGCAATTAAAAACTGATTATTTGTACAAAACGAAGTGCAGCTACAAACTTCAAGAAAAAATCACGACTGTCAGAATCCCCCCTTTTAAAAAAAATAACATAGAATTTCTCCACCTTTCCCATTTCCACTTTTAATTTTTCCCCTGCAAGTTTCTTCACTCTCACTAATTAATTCTCAATTTCTCTATTCATTTCTCACTTGAAAGCATGAAAAGCAGAGACGGAAAACAATCAGATTTCAGCCAGTTCGTGCAGATATTTATCATCCACTGGAACCGTTCAAGTCCTACCTGTATCCACAATAGTGAGCAGAACACAGAGCAAAGCCTGATAAATCCAAACGTATGTCCTCATGGTTAAAGATTTGGGTGCAAGTTAGAATCCGGATTAAGAGAGCGACGCACTCGGAGCTTGTTTGAAGTTCTGAGTGGCTGATGGTGAGCAGAAGACTTATCTTCCTCACACAGATGTCACCTTCCCAAAAACCCACACGTCCTCGGGTCAACCCCCTTTTTCTCAAGTTTGTACTATCAGCGTCTCTCTGCTGTCAAGCGCAGCAGGGCAAATAGCACGACTTCCGGTTAACCATTTCAAATTAAAACCAGATGCCGTTCTTTTTTTAATTTCCAATTTTAAACGGAAGCAATGGATTACATTCATTCTACTGTCAACCAATAAATAAGGAAAAGAAAACGAATTAATGTTACATATAATCCGTTTTTGGCAACTCATTTGGTGGTTGCTGTGTTGAATTTAACCTTTAACTTTAAAAAGAAGTTTATAAATTGTAAAGAAATAACTTAATATTGCTTTATAGATATGCTGTTAATCTGCCATCGACATGCAGGATGCAGTCTATTTTTATTTATTTATAAGTTCATATAAACTACTTATTACTCGACTACATTAAACTCATTTATTAACAATTTTTTAGTAGCTACATTTAAAAATACTTTATGCATCATTTCCAAAAACAGACAGCTCACTAACTTTTGCACTTGGACCATCTGCTGCTGAGAAATCCGTGACTGCAACTAATTATGATCTAACACTACTCTGCATGGCCAAGGTGAGGACCTTTATTCATGATCTATGGCTAAATTGTTGTGATTAAGGTAAAAGATAAAATGATACTTGGTAGAAGCTGTTCACCCTTTTACATCAGTGGAGCACTGAGGCTGAAGTGGCCATAGTGTGTTGTCTTGAGGCCATGCAAAAATAATTAAAGGACCTTTATTGGTCTGGTGATCATGAGGCAAGAGCTTTTTCTTGAAAGATCCCCTTTTCTGTCCCTCCTCACTTGCCTCAGTGTGGCTCAGCCAAAAAGGCAGATGGGATTCTTTACATGTTGCGCCAAAGAGATCTTGGCACAAGGTATTGATTGCATCCTCTGTGGATTAGCCAGTTGCAAAATACCTAATGTACCAGACACAGTGCACAGACATAAAAGAATACATAAAACAAGGAAGAAATAGTTCACTTAAATTCCCTGAAGCAAGACACTGAAACTGCAGCAAATACTTTATCTCTGAACTCCAGCCAATTGATACAAAAACACTCTGAGTTTCTTCAGTCATTCAGCGTGTCAGTGCATGTCCGTATCATAACTGTCTCTATGATGAATGTGCTCCTCACAGTGACAAACATGCCACCAAATCTGCACGGACTCGCCATCACGGGAGAGCATCTTCTTTCAAAGGCATACAGGGTCAATTGTTCTCAGGGAAGTCAAATGACAAAAATGAAAAATATCTGTCAGGGACTGAGCGAATCAGACAGGATAAAAATATATATGAGGTGAAAACAGTTCCAAGAGTCATGGCGTATGGTAATAGCACATTGTAAAGTGACCTTACACAGTCCTAACAACTATATTATTTGCTTTATAAAGGGATACGATTGGCTGGAGCAAAATGCAGCATAGAACTTTCTAATGTTCTCTATCTTTATTATTGTTGCACTGATCACTGGAGTTTAAAAGTGCCATAAAGGTACAATAAGGTCACTATAAAGACAACACTGAGCACCACAGGAACAGTATAAATCCCTATAGGGACGTTATAAGACATGAAATGTGTGTGTTTAGGTGGGGCAGCTGGAAGTGATCCTATTTAGGTACTAGAGTACAGAACTTTTGTTGGGCTCTAACCCTTATTTGACAGGAAATCCACACTTCAGCCGTTAACAGGCGGCAGACTTAAAGCCCTCCAGAGAGAGCAGGAGGGGGAAGAAATGGTTTGAGGTAAATGCCAGACGCCCAGCCCTCCCTCATTAAGACGCGTGCAGGTCATTTTATTTCTCTTTGGTCCCTTTGCTTGCCTTTCGTATGCGTATGTGGTACAAAAGTGTACCAGCAGGTGTAGAGGTGTGTGTACGCGTGCGCTCAGGGGGCTTCAAACTGGAACTCTGTAGGCCCTGGCAGCAGGCGTGTAGGTGCGCTGTTCAGCATGCACACAACCTGTCAATCAGTGGTAGAGCAAAGAAGAAATCCAGACACTCGAAATCTGTCTTGGAGGAAATTTCTGTAGATTGGTACCTTTTGAATTACAGCGCGCCCTGTCCCATGTGCTTCACAAGCCTTGCATGAATAAGTTAGGTTTGACAGCTGATTATGCATCGAGGGAGGAGATGTTGGAAGTTGGAGTGCGCTTTCATAACAGACCAAAGCAATGGGAGTATTGCCTTCCACAATTTATTTTTTTCACTCCAGGCCTGGTGCTGAGGAATCCAAGATGTCAGTCATTCTGCAGCACTGTTAATGAGAGCAGGAGATGTTATGTATGATGTATATGATCGTTTTATTTAAATACAAGTTTAAGACGCAATCAGTGTAACTGACATAAACTTCACAACTGCCAGAAACTACATGGCCCAGTTCATGACAGCGCGTTCACAAGCTACTTTTTTTTATCTGATAGCAAGATAATTCTCAGATGACTTCAAGCTGATGTGAGATCGCCCTTAAATTCCAGCAGGCCCATGTCATCCAGGGGAGATAACGATAATAATTGCAACCTTGATCTTTCTCGGGTCCTTTGGTTCTGCCACATTAAGAAAATACTCTTCCAGGCAGAAAAGAAACAAATGTGATTATTGATTGAAACAATTTTCTTCTTCCTATTAGATCTCAATCTCTACTTTTGTTTAAAAAAAAAAACCCAAACACCAAATGGGCTTATTTTCCCGATCAAACGCTGAGGTTGAAATGGTAAAATTTTATTTTTATTTTCCTATATGGAGGATTGAACGTGTCAAATCAAAAAAGGGGGGAAAGTTAGAAAATTACTTAATAAATAAACTCATCTTTCATTAAACTGAGCGTAATTGAAATTAAAATTTATTTAGGCACAGATGCCTTTATATAATGTGACAGAAATTGATTCATTTTTGTCTGTAAATAAATATTTCATTTGTTAATTCTAATTTTTGCAGAGTTAAACATCGCCATACACATAGATGCATATAGTGAAAATTATACCACTTAGGTATCAAAGACGTAGTTTTCTTACATGTTACATATTATTTACATATCACGTGTAAGTATATACGGCTGTCTTTTTTGTTTTTTACTCTTGCTCTCTCCATTTATGCCTACATAAACACACATCCATTTAATGGCCTGCTGAGTCAAGTAAAGAGGTGTGGACAGGGGAAGTGCAGAGCAGAGAGACCTTCAGAGATTGGTAGCGTTGCTCATCAAGTGGATTCAGGGAGGAAAGGTGCCTTTTTAAATTGTCTGCTCACACTGCATTCATTAAAAGGAGACTCATTCGACTGCTTACAGCACAATGCCAGCACACTGCTGCCTAAGATAAATGCTTTTTAAACACAGCTAATTTGCTTATCCAGCTGGAAGCTCCAGGTCTCTGATTACTGATATTCTGAGCATTTGGGAGGAAGTAGTTCAAAGGGCTACAATAGCAATATTAATAACCCTTTTTCAGTGAACTGCTACATGAAATCTCACAGTGTTAAAGTTTTTAGTGGGAATAAAGTGCTCAGTGATGCACACTTTGATCATATGTGTACATATGCATGCAAATATTTGGTGTTCATAGTTTGGCTTGGATTATTCTTGCTTTTATCTGTACCTGGACTCAACTTATCAGCGTTGAGCCTCATCAGCCATCACCTCTGTTATTTACAACCCCGTGCCCTGAACCAGGGCGGTATCATTTGCTGCACTGGCCATGCTTATTGCAGGGCTTTACCCATTTCTCTCTAATTACTTTACACCCCAGCTGCTCAACAAACACTCCCCCTGTCCATGCTTCCCTCCATTCCTGCACATGAAGGAGGCTAATCACCGGTGTGATCACCCCCTTTTCACCTCTGACCCCACCAACACTAGAATAACAACCTCCATACCAGCCCCACAACCCCTCAACGCTTTTCCCCAATTAGGAGGGTGCTTTTCCCCTTGCAGATGACAGATGAGGGGTCAGGGGGCTGTCAGACCCCCTTGCTAGTTTCTCCTCATGCCCACCATGGGATTAAACAGAAGGACGTCCTTGCCCTGGGGAGTGACAAGAAGAAAGAGATGGAAGTAATGTCGACATAGATAAATAGCTATCGAAAAACTAGACACTGAAGCTCACAGAGTTGGGAAGCGGGTGTGGGAAATAAGAGCTGTTTGATGAAAATAGAAAGACAATATAGGTGTGAAAAGTTGATGGTTGAGACTCGCAAAATGGGTAGATTCTCAAAGAGGATTGGCTGCACCTGAGGAGAAAAGACTGGTGCAGGAACTCTAATTTCAAGATAAAGAGAGCAAGATGTTGTTCATGGGAATAGCAAATAGATAGAAAGATTAAATGTCCAAAATAAAAATGAATAAATAAATGAACAAAAAAAACAGATGAAATAGAGAACTGGGGAGGAAGAAATAGAGATGGGTAATGCAGCGTTCGTTGTGTTGCAGCGAGCCTTTTTTTCTCTGCTGCAATAAAAGTCGGGCTGCGGTCCAATGAATCAATGGGTTGGGGGCTTTCCTCTCTCTGTTGTGTGTTATGTCCACTGCTAATGGGCAGCAGATGTGGAGGTATTTCACAAGTGTGGCTTTGGAAAACATTCCCGCACATAAACCCAATTAGGTCGGACCCTGAACACGAGCTAGCTGGTGAGCAGGCGAGCGTGCTCACGACCGCCCAAACTCTCCACAGACTCAGTTGACTTAAATTATCTGATTTTTTCACTGCAGGAAAAAAAAAAAGCTGTAGAGTTAATTATGCTTAAAGACTACGTTTGAGTTAGCCAGTGTTCTAATACAGAATTTTCCAATTCTTTTCAAACAAAATTTTTTTCAGTTTGTCTGCTTTTATAAAAATGGGTCAATTAATAAGCTCTGACGGCTCAGTATCTGCTGGCAGGTTTTTCGTTATTTAGGTGGTTCAAAATAACCAAGAAAAAACAAATCAAAACAAAACATAAAACCAGTTAAGCCACCATGGAGAACGACATGTATGAG